AAAAAATCCGTGAAAGCTAGCCTAGAATTCGTTGATCACCCAGAGAGCGGCACTATTGTAGCAAAAGATTGAGATGACAATAATTTTCCCACCCTGGTCTTCTGTAATGTGAGTGCATGCCACAACCAAACACAAATACTTCCGTACATTTCTGAGTAGATGAGAAAACGGTAGTGTCTTCAATTTTTGAATATGCAAACACGAATAGTTACATTAAAGCGAAACAGCCAGCTCAATGTAGTATTTGTAGGTCGACATATGCACCGAATTATTGGTCTTTGATACTCTTACTTTGGCCTCGTGTCAATAATGTGGCAATACAGCCTTTCTCATGGGGATGCTGCAACTGCTGACACGATCTCGAGTATTTCTGAGGATATGAGAAAAGTGGGAGCGCCTTCAACTCTTGAGTGGGCAACACGCACAATCGTGAAACACGAATAGTTGCATCAAAGCGCCGCGATCAACTCAGTCTAGCTTTTGTACGGGACATAATACATAGGTTAGCGTATAAATTGCATTCAAGTTAATTTAGACACCCCATAAACCCCCTATAATTTTATAATTTACTTCTAAACAGTTCCCACGCTAGTATGTGGTATCCAAAAACTTTAGTAGGTAGGTATGTGTAATCCAAAAAGGATAGAAAACCTAAAACAACTGTAAAAAAAGATATTTAGAAGTGATTCCGTGAAATCTAAAAAAACTATAAGAAATTGGAGGTGATTCCGTGAAAATTCGTCACGAATTCTTTTCGAAATGGATCACGACCTCGCAACATCTCACAAAACGTGCACTATCTCTCCCGGGAAATTTTTGAACACCTGTGTAGTTCAATGTTCGGCCACTTGCAACGCCACCACTCACCGTTTTCTTGTTCAAGGACGCAGTTGTTGTATTTTTCGGAAGAGTGAAAGGTCCTTGAAAACTAATCACGTGTTGATATGTTTTGATTACGTTGTTTTCAGACTTAGTGATAAAATGTGACAATTACAATCATTACTTAATTAATGCGATATTGAAATGGCTCCCTTTTCTCTCATCTCTGCTCTTTCGAATTTAATGTTCCACGGTATCACATTCATGTGCTAGCTTCATTTTTAGTGTCGTCCCGTTTCGCGAATCAAAACAATGGAGTTGCTTTCAAATTGCTCCAGTACTTCCAAAATGAACAGAAAATGAGGCTCCTGCCTTAGAGTGATCTACAATGGCAACAGAATCTGGAGAATCTGGTTCTACGGATCATGGTCACGTTTGCAATATTAATGCAAATGGCAATCCACTCAAATGGAAGAAGTTGAAAAGTTGGATTCAATGTATTTGCATTGTTACTTTCGACTTGGAACTGGGACAAGCTATTGAGGTAAGAAGCCCCTTTCCTGAAAAAGCCCTACTTTTTAGGAACTGCAGAACTTTGAGCTCATTGCCAAGCCTGTAATATCAGTCGCTGTGACATTTTATCCGCAGTAAATTTTGGTATGCAGGTTAATGATGTTCATGCCCTTTGATTGACCCGGTCTCATTATCACTCAATGTTTCATCTAAAAAAAGGATAATAATGTTCCAATTTATCCTGCACAATTTTTATCCATCTCCTTATTATAAAGATTACCTTCAATCTGTACATGGATGCCTCAATTATTTTGAGGGGAGAAAGCAATTGGTAAACATAACCTCAACAGCTTTTGTTCAATACCAAGGGTCCACAACTCGGGTTTGCTTGCGCCGCGTTTGAAATGTTCTCTTTTAGTCGTAAATGAATCCACCAGCAGTACTTGATCAGTTGCCATTTAAGAACATGGCTGCCTGAAATCAATGGTTTGTTTTCAGTGTTAATTTGGAAGGTAGGTAACTAATGCCACTGGTGGAATGGTAGATCATACTGAAAAATTTCCCGGTACTCTCTGACCATTGATTGTAGTAACTGGTGGTACTATAGCCACCAGCGGTGGCTTTATTGGTCGTGACACCAGCATTGGCTGATCAAATCAAGAATGCACTGTGGTGATCAGTGGTATTGGAGAAAGAAACGGAAGGAGTGAAGAAACCTTCACAGTCTAATATATTCTGTCATTAATGCCCTCAGGATTTCCGTAGACTAAATGGATAATTTATTCTGGAATTGGTGGCATCAGATTTATTGAGTTTTTGTTCAAATACAGCAACAACATGACTGTCAATTTCTGTGTTTAATTCCAGACAACATAGTATAACGGAATCAGTTGATAATGATCTAAGTATGAAAGAAAAGTTGTCCTCTCTGTTACCTTTCTCTAATTAATTACAATGTTCCAGGTAATCTTTCCTAATGACGCATTGTCCGAAGAAGATCAAACAATTATCTGCTACTTGGCCTTCCCAGACTCTAACTCGGGATGCATGGGTGACACACAATTTCACTTCCGCATTCGTCAAACGTCTGGTGCTGAGTTGAGCGAAGAACATGTTGCATACAACAATAAATGTCCGCCATATTTACAAGTACACAGAGCTTATTTTTATGGATATGTTTTCTTCCGGCAAGTGAAGGACCACTCATTACCGCGAGGGTATTTTCAGAAGGTAATCATAAATCCTTCTGTCTAGTACCTAGTTCAATTCTTCATACTGAGAAAACAACCTACAACCAGGAAATTAAAAGAAAACCAAGTGATATGATTTGAAATTTTTAAAAAAAGGCTTCAGATTCTAATCCTGCCATAACCATGAACTCAACTATTCAAAACTTAAAGCCAAATTTTTGCACTCAGAATTTTATTTCCAGATACTAAATTTTTAGCAGGAAAAATTTCTTGTAGGTCTAGGTTGGAACCTACCCCTAGCCAATTTTTATTAAAAACCTAAATCTCCACTAAATGTTGCCTAATAACCTCATCCAAGTTTTTTGTTTTTAGACCCTTCCAAAAAAAAGGATTTGAAGCTCAAGTAGCACTTTTAAAGAGGTGTGGCCTCATTAGGCCGCCATTATTGTTATTATTGGAAGGTAAAAGAGTTATCTTGAAGCCCTGTGAACGGAGAGCGCATGCTTTTACGATCGTTATTTATCTTGTCTCACCTTGTGTCTGAGATAGTAACAATTGTATCTCTTTGCGTACCGTTTAACTTGCATCTAAAATTAGTTATATTTTCTTTATGTTTTCACTTGGCTACAGAACTATTTTGTCAAGACATTGCTGATCACAGGCAAAGTTTTTTACATGAAAAGAATCTTCAAAGCTTTGAGGGTTTTTTATTCAGCAATTCAAAGGAGTAGGTCAATCCAAATTTTTGTTTGAAAAAAATGAAATCTAGTGATGATACTATGTTCACTCCATCTTCCTATTTTAAAACAGTGTGATTTACTTAATTCTGTTATTTGTTATTGGACGCAGTTCCCTTGTTTTCTCTTTTAAATTTTCAATTTTGTCTATTTCTAGAGTGTTATTATCATTTCAAGACTGCCATTCATTAATTTATTCACGGAGTTATGTGGCATCATTGCTCCTGAATTTTTTAACCATGGTCTCGAAAGCATCACAGCAGCTTGTCACGATATTGACCGATGGCCATCACTATCACCAGGCCATTCAGTTGTTTTACCTATTTTTGGTTCCTTAATTCAGGTATATTTACTTAAACAATTTCAGCTACTTTTCATTCTAAAACGCTCTCTGGTAGAAGCTTTTTACATTGATCAGAACTAACAGCAAAGATTCTTCCCTCTGATCTCATGAATTGCTCCGCAACTGCGCTTTCCTTTGGTATAACTGTAAATATATTTTGATAGAGTGTTGCTTGAAAATAAAATGCATCTCTTAATTTTCTATGGGTGTTTCACCAGTATTGTCATAAATAGTGATAATGAAATCTTATTGCTATTTTGTGATAGTCCAAGGTATAGAAAATTGTCCTCTTAATCAACAATTTTCCAATTTAAAAACAAAGCTCTCAATAAATGTTTTATGAAAGTAAATATTTAACACTGTAAATGACTTTGTAAAACATTTTTATTCAGAGCCTAAAATATTTCATCAATAAGGTCATGAAATTTTCTTTTGGCCTTTAAATATGACGCTGAATGTCACCTTTCTACTAATACAGGAGTCCCAATTCTTGGCAATGATCAGGACAAGAGCTCTTATGGGTAATTAAAATCTTAAATCATTCAAAATTAAGCTATTATACCAAGATTGGGCTGTATTTTGAGGAACTCTATTAGAACACTTGTCAAATGTTAGACAGAAATGTAATAATTAGTTAAAGATGAATGTCTTATGATTTGAAAGAAGTTATTCTGTTGATTATCATTTTTGGAAGAAATTGTGCATGGAAATTTGTGCCCTAGCATTGCAGCTTTTTTGGGCTGGAATGTTTTCCAAGCCACCAAAAAAGAAAATTTGGGTTATCCGAATTGCAGATAATTGAAGCAGGTATATACCATTAATTTCCCTACCCACACAAGTGTTTTTAAGGATGAGTCAGATATTTTAGTTCCCAATTGCAAAATGTAGTCCAGTTGAGACTGTTATCACTGTACAATAATTCCTCTCTGATTAAGACATTGATATTTTTTTCAGACTCAAATTCCTGTCGATAGCAACAAAAGTCAGCCATCCATCGGAATTTCGTCTGTCGCTTCCTGTCTCTCTTCTACGCTCTTAGCCACGGTTCATGAAATCAACATTTTCAATTCATTCTCTCACATCGTCAGTCATATTCACCTGTTGTGGGAGCTTGTTTTAATTGGTGAACCCATTATAGTCATGTCCTCATCCCCTGCTGTTTGCTCACAAATGGTCCAAGCCTTAGTCAGGTAAATTTTTTTCTTCCCTATTAGTATTTCCATATCTTTCAAGGCTTATAGCAATATTAGAAACGTTTGTTGTTTCAATTAATCTTTTCCTGTCAATTTCAGGGTTAGTTTTATCAGTATTGGTATTACTGGATTTTTAAAGAGTCTGAGAAAACCTGAAAATGTCTGGGAAATTGACAAAAGTGTTAGGGATAAATCACTAAGTCACCTTTATATGCTTTCTAGAATGGGTATGATGTTTCGAACAACAAATTTTGCTCGTAAACTGTTTGAATCTCTCAGTTGGAAAACAACCCAACTTGAGTCTCTTACGATGTTCATTTTCTTGCACAGAAACATTCCTCTTCTGGCTTTTATACAGTTTTTATCATTTCTTGAAAAATTTCATTTTGCCAAGATGGATCGTTTTCGAACTGAGAGATTCATTTCTGATCATGTCTCTTTAACCATCTGGCATATCTTCAATAGAGAATTTGCAGGTGTCTGAAATTTGATGAATTTTGTGTTTAAGTAGAAACTACTGAGTGAACTGAAGACAAGGATACCCTTGGCTAATGAATTGAACAATTACTGGAGAAGATATGTATGACAAAATTATCTAATCTGCTAAAATACATGTGTTTAAATGGGAAATGCTGCCAGATAACGTCACAAGGCGGTGCATTTTCTCACTTTTAAATCTATTTTTATACTATTTCTCATATCAGAAAAAAATTATAAAAATTACTATGAAATCAGCTCTTTAAGACCTTTCGAATGAAGCAGTAAAAAATGTGCATGCAAATTCTCCATTGTTGGGGAATTCCACTAAAATGTGTCAGGAAAATCAAGAAATTGTCACAGAATTTCATTTTCTTCAACAAACAAAAGTATCAAAAAGTTTTCTTCAAACAAATGTAGAGGCCCTCCTCAAACAATTTTTTTGGAAGAAAAATTACGTAGAAACAGGTATATCATAGACTACCAACCTTCACAAGAACACATCAATAGCCCATTGCAGCTCTGACCATGAAGACAGGCTTGGCTTCATGTGAACCAATGCTTCAAATGTATTTCAAGAGGGAAGTTTCCTTCTCGTAACTTTAATCTTATTTTTTCACCTTTCTCTGTGCAGTATGATTGTGCCTTTAAAATACCATGCAGACTTCCGGCCTTATTTTACTATTCATGACAATGAGTTCAAGGAATACACCTCTAGGGCTCAAGCACCTCCGTCTGTGATTTTGGGTGTTACTAATCCATTTTTCGCCAAAACTCTTCAACATTGGCCACACGTGATCAAAATTCCTGATTCTGCAAATTTAGGTAAACATCAGTGTCCACCGTTTAACTTTATATACACAGCTTGACAGCACTAACCGGAATCTGTCTAAGTACATCTGATGTCTAATTTTATCGCATACTTTCTATTCATTTATTTTTTTAATACTAAAACTATTCAAGCAACAATCATTAAAAGAGAGCAAAGTTAAATCCTTTGAATTTCATTCACAGTAACATTTTACTTAGTATTTATTTTAACGTTGCAAGCCCCTCTTATTTCTCTAACAATATAAGAGTTTTCAACTCGGATAGTATAATGACCATTGTGATGTCTTACATGCTTTTACCCATATATTTTATTCCTTCAGTACCTTGGATTTACTGTTAATCAATAAAATGTCGCTAAATAGAAAAGGATCTAGGTATCAAAAGAGAGAGATGTAAAAAATGTGTATCCGCCGATGCATTTTTTAAATCTATAATTAGTTATTTGCATGTTGTTTTTTTCTGATCTTGTATGTTCTCAGCGTCTATTCTGCTTGGTGACATTGAATTCTAGTAGCAAGTTGATTGAAATGAGAGATCTTGCAAAAATCTATGTTAATAGAATTTTATGTTGAAAATTAATTTTCGCCTCTTTATCCTGAATACCGTTTAACTTTCCTATATTTTTCAAGAATATTTTATTTGATGCTACTTACAGATTTAGAAAATTTTACAGGGCATGATAATATTGACTTTTTCTCTCAATTTATGAATTATTTACCCTGTAGAAACCGTTTTGGCCTCACTTTTCAGTGCATTTCTGAAACATTTTACAATTTTCACTATCTTTTTATTTATCTGCATCTACATTTTTTATTTTTATGTATTACTTTATTTCAGATAATTCTCAAACTTTTAAGTTGAAGAAAAGGGGCAGTGGGTTAAAGCTACTGGACTCAAAGCCAGGAGTATATACTCAGTATCAGCCGCATCTCCAGAAAGACAAAGCTATCGTCAAAAAATTACTGAAGGGTATCACGACAAATAGACCAAATGAAGTCCAGTCAGCCCTCCTGAAGCGGCACCTTTTAGAACTCACCCAAAGCTTCATGATACCCCTCGAAAGGTACATGGGCACTCTCATGCCCTTGCAGAAAAACGTATCCCCATTCAAGGTATGAAAAAAACAAATTCTCTTTTATCCTCTTATCCTTTGCTATACGAGGCCTGTTGGACTAGAAACCTGATTTTGGTGATAACTTGCAATGCGTCCGAATTAGGTTTTTTTGGCCTTTTCTGATAGCTGGAAATATACTTAAGAATGCTACATTCACGAATTTGAAAAATCCTAATTAGCTTCGTTGGGTTGTGGCTTGAAGTAAGGTGGCCTCATGGTTGTTCTGCAATTTTTATGTTTGACCGAACTTGTCTCTCTTTTTTCGGTCTTGCACTACCTTTTTCAATACACAAGGATGATTGGAGTTTCGTCTTCATATTGTAGAGGTACACTCAAGTTTTGTCCCCGAAAATTATACCATCCAAAAAGTAGGATCATTGTTAGAACGTTCAAACAGCTAAAGGAAAATTGACTTTTGGTTGGATTTTTGTTCAACGGACAATAATCAAGGGGCAAGTGTACCTGAAACTCATGCATGTCTACATATTCTATCAAAAGTAGGTGTACAGAACCTTCAGAAATATTACACTGTTCAGCAGGCTCAAAACGAGCATTTTTGAGCACTTTTGCCCGCACCTCTTCCAAGTGGCAAATTTCAATTTTCGTTGATGGTCGATTCCCAAACTTATCATCTTCGACGGACTCCTGACCAGTTTTGAATCGTTTAACCCATTCAAAACAATGGGAACATCTCATACAATGATCATGGTAAACTTTACTTAGCATATACCAAAAGTTTCGGTACAAGGTATACCGAGTCTAAAACAAAATTCAATGTTAAATCTTTGCTCTATCAGTGATCGCATGATGAAAATCGCAGAACGTACCTAACTTACTCGTATTCAAGGTGACACAGAATAGACACTGATCAAAATAAACCAAATCTGTGAATGTAGCGTTCTTCAGTATGTTATCAGCTATCAAAAAAGTTCAAGAAAACCTAATTCGGGCGCATTGTGGGCTAATTATCACCAAAATCCGGTTTCTAATTTAACGGACCTCGTAAGTTCAATTATTGTTCAATCTGAACATCTCATTTGGAATTCCCAAAAATGAGCCCTCTCTTATGGAACGTTTCTTATAAATTTGAACAGTTCACTTACCTTATTATCATGGTTCATAAAATATATAACGAGACATCAAGACTATCCAGAGGGGGGTCAAAGCATTGCTTCATTTTTTTCAAAATCCGAAAATTTGCTTAATATATTTTACAAATGGCCACTGTGCACCTCTATCCCATCCTCGTTTTCTTGCATATAATTACTAATTTCGTATTTCCTCCTTCTTTCAGGCGACTCCAGTTCCTTATCCATTTAATCCAGATGATTTTTTCGCATCACTAGAATCTTCTGGCCCTCAGCTTACGTCAAGGATTAAAGGCGACTGGGAAGGCTTATATCGAAAATTCTTTAGATCTCTCAACTTTAGCGGCTGGTACAATGCCAAGTACAAGAAAATGGCCGAAAAATTAGAAGTTCTTCAGCTCAAAGCTTTGTCAGACGCTGTAAGTCCTGCCCTTTCAGCTTTGATCTTTCTTTTGATTTTTCAGTTCCTATCTACATCAATTTCCAGGCAGTTCTCAGCAAAGCAAAACTTAAAATTGATTAAGCATTCCCTTACAATAAAATGTTTATGATTCGTTGTGGTCAGAGTATGCAAAATGCCCTTTGCCTCCTACGGACAAGTATAATCGTCATCGCAAAAACGCACATCAAAAATGTTCATTTTCGGTGTTATTCACAGGGTTGCCACAGTCAAGGAAAACCGGGAAACACCAGGAAATTTTAAAAAGTCAGGGAAAACGGGGAAATGTCAGGGAAAATGGCAAAAATGGCGCAAATGTCAAGGGAAGTTTGTTAAATCACCTTCATTTGCTTTCTAGAATGGGTTTGAGGTTTTGAACAACAAATTTTGCCTGAAAACTATTTACAATTATGCCCTCTTAATCATCCGACACATCTTCAATTGTCAGGGAATTTCATTTTCTAATTTCTGTGGCAATCCTGTCTTCATTTTTTCAAAAAATGGGGGCTAGTATTTAACCTTGGGTGACTGATCTTCACTCGTACATACTTAAGGATAAGGCACACAAAGTTCAAGGTGTTTGGTCGAGAAATAGGTGAATGAGGGCAAGAAAACTCTAAATAGTCATTTTTGCCATTTCTAACCTCAGGCGGAGGAGCACAGGGTGAAAATCTAACTCAGGAGTCAAAAGGTTAGCGACCAGGAATTGTCAAGGAAATCAGGGAAAACGTCAGGGAATTTTATTTTGCAAGCGATTTCGTGTCAGGGAAATCGAAAAACACGGATTTCGTGCGTGCACAATTTTCCTCTTCTTCCTCTTTTACTTACCTCATTCAAGAATACTAAAATTTTTTGACTTTTCAGGACTTCAAAAAGTGGGTGCTCGACAAGCAAGAGGTCGAACGAGTGGACATGATCTTACGAATTAGGCATAAAATCGAGCTTTGCGAATCTCAAGCAGTGACTCTGAACGACTTTACTAGAGACCAGCTAAAAGTGAAAATCAATGATATTATAGCCTCCTTACCGGATGATTTGAAGATTGTCTTGTCTCCGCGGTGACCTGCAAGCCTGTCTGTCACATTTTGGAGTGATAGATAATGATTCTTTTTGCCATTTCTCAACGGAGATTACAAAAACTCTTTTTGAGATATTTATCTCCGTAGATTTCTTTTACTCATATGCTTCCTTGTTTTTGAGATTTTGTCTAAGTTTTGGTATCTGGCTCCATTTTGAGGTGAGATTAAAGAACTTATCTTTGGTAAGTTTTTTTACTACTTCCGTTCTTAGATACTCTTCCCACAATTTAAGTGTTAAGAAGCTCAAAAAATTAAAGAAAGTGTTAGAATTTTGTAATCGGGTAAGCTCAGCTTACAACAATGGTGCTATCCTTTTAAGATTTCATCAGGCAAGCTTCCTTCTTCGGATTCATTTGATCTGCAGGTTGTCTCAATAGTAGTTGAAAATGTGAATCGATTGATTGGAAGAAAAACATGTATCAAACCCTCCTCTTTAGTTTTGATTTATGAAAGGAAATTGTGAAACCAATTACAAAATTCTGTAAAGTGTTGTTTTGGAATTTGTAAGTATTACTGGTTTGAAAGGTTCTGAGTAAACACTTAGCTATATGAATCAGCATTTCCCAAAGTATGGTTTCTTTTTGAATTTAGAGTCGTTTGCTTTGAGAGTTATTATACTCTTCTAGTTTTCTATTTCTTCTGCAACTTTCCAGTAATTTCCACTTCTCGAAAATTTCATATATTTTGATAACATACCAATTCAGTTTGATGATTAAAATTTTGCATCTTCTTCACTGTGTTGAAACGAAAATTGTCCATCTGTTGAATAAATTAGCCGTCACTAAATATTGTAAGGAATATTTCAATTCCCAGAGGAAAATGTCAGTTTGCTGAAATTTATCCAAGAAATTGCAAAGGAAATCATCAACCCCTCTTTATCTAACGTTTGTATTATGATAATCGCAAAGGAAGCTAATGAGTTCATCATGCTAGAAAAAAGGGAGCTTTCCACAACCTTCAACTCTCTGAATTCGTCGCTTCCGACGGCTTTGATGATCTCAGAAGTATCGTCTCCTACAGCTAAGATGGCAGTATGGAAAGTGGTTGAACATTGGCAAACATGTAATGCAATGGAGGTCAGAAATTAGTTCAAATATATAATTGGAAAGAACTGTTCAAAGTATACCTATTATTATGAATCAAATAATGCTCAGTAGAATGCCTCCCCATATTTTGTGATAAATAAACCGAACGGACTAAAGCTGTAACGGGGAGTGTAATATGAGGAGGCATTCTCATTTACTATAATGCAGCTACCAAGGTCTTTCTAAAAAGAAAGTGTTTTTGTAGCAAGGTACCATGTAAATTGAAATCAAGATGTTTATTTTTAAGATATCATTAACTCATAGGTCAGTCAACAAAACCAAAATTTTGGCCCTGATATCTCAAGACAATTTACAGCCATTCTGCCCACAGGGCATAATGACATTTTGAGAGGGACCCTAATGTGCATTTAAACCGAAACATCATTGAAACTAAGGAATTAAATGTATTACTATTATTCTGTTCTTTGTAGAATTGAGTACTCATATTTCCATCCTTGTCCAAGAGTATATTACAGTACTCTCTTGCTATAACGAATTGGCAAGGGACCGGGCTATTCCTTCGCAAAAGCGAGATTTTTGTTATAATGAGTGTTATTATAGCGAGAGAATACAATATATTTAAATTAATTCTCTCAGTGTTAACTTTTTGTACCTCTGAATTTTTTATTCGGGCAACAATATGTTTCTCAAAAAATTGTAAAATAAATATGTACCTAATTAATAATTTTCAAATTTCAGCCCCAGCAGTGTAACTATCACAGGTTTATCATATTGTCTCTTCTTAGATTATTTTATCAAATTTTGAAAATAGTGGCCAAATTTTGGAAATTATAACGCATATGAGCTGTTCGGAAAAGACCTGGCTTGACACTGGAAACAAAGGATGATTTAAAAGCTCAGGATTGAAACTAACCTAACATATTATTTGAACAAATATTGACAAAGTTTTGGCAGTTTTAAACAGGATCAATGCAAACTGCCTGCTTTTTTAGTTTAACAAGATTTTTTTTTTTTTTTAAATTTAACCGTGTTCATTTTCCTAATGATTTTTTAATCCTCCTAAGAACTCAGAAATTTCTGAAATAGCACTGCATGATATGTTCAAATTGGTCTATCATGTGACGATTCTGTTTGTTAGTGCAGTATTCCAAAGTGGGCAAAGTATTTCCAAGTGGCAGTAGTGGGCAGTATTCTGTAGGCCTTGTTTTTTCTTTGCATTCTTATTGTTAGCATTGTCAAATTGCGATTCGAACAGCAAATAACCTGTTACCATATTTTTTTTTTCAAGGAGCCCCTTAGATTTTGTCTTAAAAGACGGTTCGAAAAAGTTTCATGGGCCACTTTGAAGAAACTGAAAATTGTCCAAAAAGAGTTCATATAGGTGGTTTAAGTAGACCTTTTTTTCAAACTTCCATAACTTGGCCAATTCTCAATCAAATAAATTGATATTGATCTCAATCAATAACTTTTTCAAGTCTTCTTTCTAAAAAAAAAAAATAAATAAATAAATAAATAAAATAAAAAACAAATTAAAATTGTCTTGATAAGTAGGTTTGATCCAAAGCCACGGGCCGTTCAAGTTCTTTTCTGAACAGCTCTCATAGATCACAAAGGCCTAGATATCTCAAAAAATATTAATTCAAGTGCCCTAATTCTTATTTCAACTTATTTATTTCAGCTCTTCATATCTTGTTTATCTAGAAACTGAAATGATTTATCATTAAGAGTTTGTAGCATCTTATTTTAAATCTTTTTCAGCACATTAAAATGCTCATCTATTAATCAGGAAGTCAGTACCTATGTAGGTACTCTTCATTTTTGGCTTTACGATCTCTGATATTTGTATTTTTTTAATATAATCGATTCCTAAATTCCAAACTCTCTTGCAGCTTGCACTTTCTTTCTCTTACCAACAACTATTATATTTACCGCTTCATACTTATTTCTTCCCCCGTCTTTCTAAAAAGAAATTGACTGTCATAGGATTGTCTTCTTCATTGTCAACCCTCTATGGAATCTTCGAGTCTAGGGGTCACTAATCTATTTTGTAGCTTGCATTGAAAGAATAAAGTACCACATTTGTTTTCAAAATTTTAAATTTAAGGGAATCGATTTTTCAAAAACAGAAACAACTAACGGAATTTTGCAAAATTATGGTAGAGGGGTAAGTTTCAATTTGTTAAAACCCCAAAAATATGATGTTATGAATTCGTAAGGCCGTGCCATAGAGGGTTAAGTAGACAGATTTTTTGTGCCAACATCTTTATCATCCAAGTTACAAGTACAAGATTGGTTTTTGGACCTCTGCCAGAAAGCCTGTGACTTAAGTCACACTGATATTTCCCCATTTGAAGCTATGTCAAAGAATCGATTATTAAGGTGTTCCTTGTGAACACCCTGTTCATCAATCCTTTTCCATAGATTTAAATGGCAAATCAATGGAAATATTGCAAAGCACGCCACGCCAGTGCACAGATGTAAGTGTTGGAAATGTAGCAAAGGTACTTTTTTATACAGGGTGTTTCAGACCACCCGTACCAGGCCTTTTTCTCGGTTGGTATAGGTCGTACGAAGTCGGAGACCGCGGGGTTGAATAGGGAATTGACCCCAAGGAATCCGAATTTCGTGGTCCCGAAACCCTCCCATCCCCCCTTGGGGGGTAAAGGGGGGGTCACGATGCTAAAAGTCACGGTTCCCGACCAAATTGCGGATAGATCGCATCAGAATTGAAAAGCACGGAAAATTTCACGTGGAATTGACCCCTAAAAATCCAAAATCGGACCATCCAAGGCCCAAAAATGACCCTTTAAAGAGGGGGACAGTACCCCCCTCCATACTTTCTCTTTAGTCTCAAAATTGACGTAAATTCTCCAGAAAAAGACAGTTTCCGAGGTAATCGACCTTGAGAAATCCAAATTTCATGGTCCCGAAGCTCCTCCAGCTCCCCTTGGGAGGTAAACGGGGGGGGGCCCAATTTTAAAAATCGGGACTCCTTTCCGAATCGCAAATTGATTGCATCCAAATTGAGGAGCAGAACACATTTACATCTTAAGTGACTCCTAAGAGTTCTAATTGACCCCCCTGAACGGCAGAAAGTAGCCCCCTGAGGAGGGGGGCCTCGCCCCCGCCAAAAATTTCTCAGGATTCCTCTTTGGTCGCAAAATAGACGTCGATTCTCCAGAAAAAGATGGTTTCTCATGTAATCGACCCCGAGGACTCTAAATTTCATTTTCCTTGAGCTCCTCGGGGTCGATTACATGGGAGACCGTCTTTTTCTGCAGAATCGACGTCAATTTTGCGACCACAGAGGAGTCTTGTGAAATTTTTGGCACGGGCGAAGCCCCCCTCCTCAGGGAGTTACTTTCTGCTATACAGGGGGTCTATTAGAACTCTTAGGAGTCACTTAAGATGTAAATGTGTTCTGCTTCTCAATTTGGATGCAATCAATTTGCGATTCGGAAAGGAGCCCCGATTTTCAAAATTTGGCCCCCCCGTTTACTCCCCAAGGGGGGCTAAAGGAGCTTCGGGACCATGAAATTTGGATTTCTCAAGGTCGATTACCTCGGAAACTGTCTTTTTCTGGAGAATTTACGTCAATTTTGAGACTAAAGAGAAAGTATGGAGGGGGGTACTGTCCCCCTCTTTAAAGGGTCATTTTTGGGCCTTGGATGGTCCGATTTTGGATTTAATTTAGGGGTCAATTCCACGTGAAATTTTCCGTGCTTTTCAATTCTGATGCGATCTATCCGCAATTTGGTCGGGAACAGTGACTTTTAGCATCGTGACCCCCCCTTTACCCCCCAAGGGGGGATGGGAGGGTTTCGGGACCACGAAATTCGGATTCCTTGGGGTCAATTCCCTATTCAACCCCGCGGTCTTCGACTTCGTGCGGCCTAAACCAACCGAGAAAAAGACCTGGTACGGGTGGTCTGAAACACCCTGTACATTGGAGGATTATTATGCAAGGCTCTGGCTCCTTAGGGGCCACGTGGGCGGCCCCCGGGGGGTTGTGCTTCTTGGATGCCAGGGGGGCAGCTCCCGTAGGGTTGGACTTCTTGGATGGTTGGGTACCCCTGGAAGTTGTTTCTCTCAAAAACACGTACCTAATTGTTGAAATTCATACCCTGATTCTTGGATCAATGATTCGCCCTCAAATCGCCGGGTATGCAAAATGACTATCGTGACGCACGAATAGTGGTATCAGAGTTTTGCATTGAGATTACGGATTGATTTGAAGGCGCTCTTCTGTATCCACCGTGAGCGGCCTTGTACAATGATGTTGAGCAAAAAGTTCGTAAGTTTGGGTTATCAATCAAGCCGTATATTAGAAAAATGCGGAGGAATAATATTTTGAAATTATAGATTGTTTTTTGTCTCTTTGTCTTATTTCCAAAAAGGGAGCGCAGGCGCTTGGGTCAGATTGTGTATTTTAAGTCTTCTTGGTTCGGTCATCGTTTTCTGAAGCAAAACTGAAACAGTCGGCGTATATAAGATCGCGACTTACTCAATAGTGGTTGTGAATTCATAAAGTTTCGCACGGATAAAATGAGCTTTCGTTGATGAACTGTCAATAATCAAAATTGAGGCAAAGGTATTTTGTCCACTGGTCCATTTGAAAGCCGTAAAGCGTGGATGGATGGAGCTTGGATGTCCTCCGGGTTTCTACGGGCACTTGTACATAACGTATACATATAGATGGTTGTAGAACGGTTACATGCGATGAACCCAATGCTACTACCAATATCCTGAAACTCTCCTGAACCTCTCTTAATTTAAAAATCCAAATTTTCGTATAAATCTCCATTTTCAAAATTCTCTGTAAAGACGTTATTAGCATGTGACGCTGAATGTCTTAAAATATACTAACTAACTAACTAACTAACTGTATTTGCTAAAGTGTTGGGGGAAAAAAAGAAAAAAAGTATTACCCATATAATTTTTTGAGGGTCCACGTGAAGACGATATATTCCATAGACTACGCACTGTCTTCTTACCTACCTATGGTGTAAAAGATACCCAAGGAAGCCAATTCTCTGATATTCTTATGTATTGATGACTCGCGGTATTGGATCAACCATAGCTTCCAAACAAGTTTCAATGTCAGATGGAGCATTCCCGGAGCCTCGGTGCCACAAAACATGGCTCCAAATAAACAATTCCGCATGGTTCGCCTTCTTTTTATTAAATAGGCAAAAACACATTCGCATTAAGCTGCATCCTCCAAGATCGGACTCGACGCTCAGAGGCGAGGCCCGAATGATCGATTATCGATATTTCTCCATTTGAAGCCATGTTAAAGAATCGATTGTTAAGGTGTTCTTTGCGGACACCCTGTGTATCAATCCTCTTCCATAGGTTTAAACGGCGGATCAATCGATATATGGATTGCGTTTTGCAAAAAGGAACCAGAAGAATTGCAACGATGCTAAGATTGTGCATTTTCATCCTTTGCAATGAAATTACCTACTGCCACCGTGAAAAAATATGAAATTTACAGGGTAATTTTTGCCTTAATTTTACAGTTTTAGCGAGTAAAATAAAAATAGAGACTGGTAATAGATAATCAGGTTTTTCTTCCAAGACAAAAGAGATTGCTCAATCTTAGCAACATTGCAATGCTCCTGGTTCCGTTTTGCAAAATGCAATCCATACAGGGTGTACCAAAAGTCCGTCCCACCCCTGCTAACTTTTAAACGAATTGAGCTAGGGTAATGAAACTTTGGGAATGTTCCTATCTCAAAGGGGACCATCTTTGGGGGGGGGGGGTCAAAATTTTGGTCCCCCTTCAGGGAGGGCGCGCGGGGCCCCCAACTTTTTTTTTTCAAATGGCAACCCCTATCTTGTGATACATCATTCGAAAGAGCATAAAAAACTAAGAATTTTGGCGCAAACCGCAGATCAATATCTTAATTTTTGACCGAGTTATGATAGGTCAAAGGTCAAATTTGACCTATTTTCAAAATATCATAACTCCGGTTCAAATTATCGTAAAGAAAAAAATAAAACGGGAAAATTTACCAAATTGTGTCCGCTTTTAAGTAAAAATTGCAGAAATCACTTCGCTGTAATTTTCAGGGGGGGGCTCGGACCCCCAAATACGTCAATTCAAAGGTCATTCAATTTTCCCGCGAAAAAAGGCAATTTCCCCTAGATTTGCCTCCACATTATCTCAGTAAGGTCAAAATTAGTTCAACATTACGTTGGCAAGTCCCCAAATTTCGGGAAAAGTTTAAAAAAAACGAAATTTAAGGTGATTAAATTTGACCGTTTAAATTTCGTTTTTTTTTAACTTTTCCCGAAATTTGGGGACTTGCCAACGTAATGTTGAACTAATTTTGACCTTACTGAGATAATGTGGAGGCAAATCTAGGGGAAATTGCCTTTTTTCGCGGGAAAATTGAATGACCTTTGAATTGACGTATTTGGGGGTCCGAGCCCCCCCTTAAAATTACAGCGAAGTGATTTCTGCAATTTTTACTTAAAAGCGGACACAATTTGGTAAATTTTCCCGTTTTATTTTTTTCTTTACGATAATTTGAACCGGAGTTATGATTTTTTGAAAATAGGTCAAATTTGACCTTTGACCTATCATAACTCGGTCAAAAATTAAGATATTGATCTGCGGTTTGCGCCAAAATTCTTAGTTTTTTATGCTCTTTCGAATGATGTATCACAAGATAGGGGTTGCCATTTGAAAAAAAAAGTTGGGGGCCCCGCGCGCCCCCCCTGAAGGGGGACCAAAATTTTGACCCCCCCCCCCAAAGATGGTCCCCTTTGAGATAGGAACATTCCCAAAGTTTCATTACCCTAGCTCAATTCGTTCAAAAGTTAGCAGGGGTGGGACGGACTTTTGGTACACCCTGTATAGCATGTCACGCTCCGCCACTACTTGGATTGCATTTTGCAAAAAGGAACCACTAGCACTGCAATGATTATGCTAAGATTGTGCAACTTCATCTTTTGCAATAAAATTGCGGAAATCGTGAAAAACTATGAAATTTAGATGGTAATTTTTGTCTTAAATTTACAGTTTTTAGCGAGTAAAATAGAAACTATTAATGGATAATCGGGTTTTTCCTCCAAGACAAAAGAAGTTGCACAATCTTGTCAACATTGCAATGCTAGTGGTTCCTTTTTGCAAAATGCAATCCACTTATGATGAAAGTGAACACGGGTGATCTCTGTGGAACGGAGGAGGCGCTTGAACTTGGAATTTTAATCATTTGAACTTTAGCTTACTTTATCAAATTCTCTGTATCAGCGAGAGGTCTCTCACCTCGTGGCTCCTCAACGTGATCCCTCTTCTCCATATAACGTCATGTTTTTCAAGGCTCACGTAGAAATAGAGGTACGCCCTTTCGTCAGAGGAACCACGACCAGTTCATCAGCTCGCATTGGCTGAGTATCCCCGCTGTTCCATCTCGAATCCAGAGGCGTAAATAATCGATTATCGATATTTCCCCCATTTGAAGCTATGGTAAAGAATCGATTGTTAAGGTGTTCCTTGCAAACACTTGTTCATCGATCCTTTCCTGTAGGTTTAAATGGCAGATAAATCGATGTATCGCAAAGCACTGCTGCGTCACTGCTTAAATCATGATGACAAGGCCACAAAGAAGCTAAAGTTCGCCCCTGACTCGTGTCAATTTGACGACCAGACAATAATTTATTAGGCTCTCTTTTTTTTACCAGTGAGTGGTGTTCCCAAGTGGTAGAATTTTAGTGCAAGCCTCCATTTTTATCGGTAAAATGAATACTAGGTGCGACTAGTTTTAGGCCGGACAAGTTTTGTCGACGGGAGTTTACCGCAATGGACACGTTTTTAGTAATTGCAACTTGCTTGGCACTTTTGTGCACAGCGAATGAGGTGAGTTCAATAGATACGTCGCGGTTCACCATCATGCAGCGAAGAAATACATTCAGTCTGTAAATCAGACTATCAAGTACTGATTATGTAGGGAAATGATCTGAAAAAATTAAAGAGAGAAATGGTGAATGTCGCCCTCTACGTGTTCGCGTATTCACCAGTGGCGACGTGTTAATAATCGATTTTCGATAGTTCCTCATTTGAAGCTATGACAAAGAATCGATTATTCAGGTGTCCGTTGCGAACACCCTATTTATCGATCCTTTCCCAAAGGTTTCAATGGCAGATCCATCGATATATCGCAAAGCACGCCATGCCACTGGTATTCACGCGAGCCCAGAAAGCAAGGACTGTAACGGGCATATACTTAAAAAAATTAAAATTTCAGTGTTCCTCACAGATTTCTGTTTAAAAAATATTGCACGAGAGAAAAGTGGATGAGCACGCACCGTTTGATGTACGAGGATCCTTGGTAAAAATTGGCGACAAGAGCTGCGTTTCAAAATACCATAGGAATTCTTATAGCCAGCTAAAGAAGGCTACAAAAAATCATACAGCTGACTGTAGAAGGCGGAGAAAATCATACGGCCGGGCTATACGAAGATATAAAAAATTATGCAGCCGGGCTGTAGTTCCTATCGCCGGGCTTTACACTTTATCGCCTGGCTGTTGCTTTTTCACCATCGATTATAAAATGCTATAAGAAATTGTGTAGAAATTCGTGTGCTTTGGAAATCATTAAGTTTGATACGGAACCACCTTAATATTAACAAAACACACGTTATATTTTCCTTTAATACATATTTTTTTTCATCAATTAAAACGAGAATAATCCATACAGGGTGTGCAAACATTTCAAAATCATGAGTGAAATAACGCTGGCTACGCCAGATTAAATATTAGAGCCTAACACAAAGCGGAGCGGCGACGCACTGGCGCCTACAAACCTAACAGGGATACTTCACGCATTGCGCAGCGCGTGAAGTATCCCTGTTAGGTTTGTAGGCGCCAATGCGCCGTGCCGCAGCGTACCACGGCGTCTGAAGCAACTATTTCACACCAGAGGTATTGCACAGTATCATACGAAACTGAAGGCGCTCTAATATATTAGGAATGGCAGGCATCCATCAAAAGTACGGAGCTTTCCTCGCAAAATAAATCAAGATACTACGGCCCAAAAAGAGAGCAGTGGTCCAAAAGCTAACTAAGTCCTAGCATCTGTAACTAGTGACGTTTAGCATACACTTTATCGCCTGGCTGTGAGTTGCTTAATCGCCATCGGCTATAAAAGGCTCTAAGAAATTGTGTAGCCGGCTATAGAAGCTATTGAAATCTTACAGCCGGCCGTAGGTCTATGGTATTTTGGAACACAGATTCTACTGCCAATTTTTACCAGGGATCAAAAAAGTATGGTTTCCTACCTTGTATCCTCCGAACGAAAAGAGATTAATCAAATGAGTACAAGAGCACATATTAGACATACTATAGGTTAAGTTTTTGAAAAACGGTCCGGGGGTGTGCGAGAAAACTCAATTTTACAGAGACAACCTCCTGTCTCCGCATGCCCACCTCCGGAGTCGGGATGCGCGGGGAGTCGATTATTTCAGACTCGGATTTTCGCCTCTGAGCATCACATCAAGAAGGAATTTCAAAGTTTTAATTTGAGTAGATCTTAACTCACTTTTTGACGTAGTCTTCACCTCAATTTTGACATTGGTATCAATGTAGCAGTCTTCTATGGCTTCCGCGTAGAGGATCTTGCACCGAAAGCAGTCATTGACGGCGCTCATCATTTCCGAATCAGTTGGAACCCGCTTTCCAACTAGTGGAAGTTCCAGGTGGAAGTTTTTCACCCCAGGGAACAGATCAAAGCCACATAAGACTAAATCGGGAGAGGAGGATGGGGGCAGTGGTGCCCAACCCACGTTTTTTATACGAGCAGTGGAGCACCCTGGTAAAAATCGGCGATAAGAGCTACGTTTCAAAATACCATAGGAATTCTTATAGCCCGCTAAAGAAGGTTACAGAAAATCATATAGCTGGCTGTAAAATGCGGAGAAAATCATATGGCCGGGCTATACGAAGCGATAAAAAATTATGCAGCCGGGCTTTACACTTTATTGCCTGGCTGTTGCTTTTTCGCCATCGATTATAAAAGGCTATAAGAAATTGTGTAGACATTCGTGTGCTTTGGAAATCATTAAGTTTGATACGGAACCACCTTAATATTTACAAAACACACGTTATATTTTCCTTTAATACATATTTTTTTTTCATCAATTAAAATGAGAATAATCCATACAGGATGTGCAAACATTTCAAAATCATGAGTTGAATGACGCTGACTCCGCCAGATTAAGTATTAGAGCCTAATACAAAACGGAGCGGGGACGCACTGGCGCCTAGCGGCCACGCGCTGCGCAATGCGTGAGGTATCCCTGTTAGGTTTGTAGGCGCTAATACGCGTCTCGCGCTGGCTGCCCGCCTGCCGCACCGCAGCGTGCCACGGCGCTTGAAGCAACTATTTCACACCAGAGGTATTGCACAATATCATACGAAACTGAAGGCGCTCTAATGTATTAGGAATGGCAGGCATCCATCACAAGTACGGAGCTTTCCTCGCAAAATAAATCGAGAAACTACGGCCCAAAAAGAGAGCAGTAGTCCAAAAACTCACTAAGTCGTAGCATCCGTAATTTTTATTTCTGTGGATTTGCCTTGTATTTCAAAGTTTATGGGTCAGGTCGATTTTCCCAGGAAAAATCAGAATTTTTCCTGAATATCGAGCTTTTCCAGAGAAAAATCAAATTTCCCGAAAATCTGTGCACGATGCATTAAAACTAGGGCCATTTTCGGAGTCATTTGCCAAAATCACACGGGGAATCACAAATTGCATGTGTGGTAAAATTTCCCTTCTGTTCCTACAAACAGTATCGAGGTTTCTCCGAACAAGTTCACGTAAAACTCTTCCGATTGTTCTGCGTCAGAGAGGAAGCGAACATTATTTTTCCCCGGAAACAAGTGAAGTAATTTTCGCCGCTGAAACCGAAAACTACTCTCATTTTTGCAAAACCTTTGGATAATCTAGATTACAAAAAGAGGGGATTTTTTTTAGTTAAAAAAACTTTTCTTTTTCTAAAAAAAAAATCGATTTTTCAAAAAATTGATAGGTTTGGAAGAAAATGGAAGTCATATTCGGCTTCAGCGGTGAAAATTGAAGGAGAGTCCCCACACTTGTAAACCGAAAGAAAAATTTTTCTCCTCCTTTCTGACGCAAAACAATCGAATGAGTTATTTGTTTGAAAGCTTAGGCCATGTCTAATAGGTACTCTTGTACTCATTTGATTGTCTCTTTTCGTTCGGAAGATACAAGGTAGGGAGTCTTACTCTTTGAATGACCCTCGTAGTTGGGCTGATTTAGCAAGAGTATGTCTATTTTATCTCGTGACGGTTTTTTGTCCGAATGAGTTTTTTTTTTTTTTTTTTTTTTTTTTTTTTTTAATGATCTACAGACTCCACGTTTATTTCTACAGGTGAATGCAGAAACAGACATCTCAAAAACTGATTCAGCAAAAAACGCTTCGAGCTTAGTAAGCTCGGAGGCGGAGGCGGAAGCTGTGCTGGATCTTCTGAACGATGGGGAGGCGAAGCTGGAAAGAGGATATCATGAAAAGGCGGTGCTGGTGCTCGGGAACACAGGCTCAGGGAAGAGCACACTGACCCAGTTCCTGAGCGGGAACGATCTGAACCTGACCTCGTTCGAGACCGAGGAGGGCTTGGGCGACTTCATAATCCAGGACACCTCCGGAAGGATCAGCAACGGATCGGCCACCATGTCATGGACCATCTTCCCGGAGGCGATGCTGGACAGTAAGTCCGGAACGGTCTTCTTCGACTGTCCCGGGTTCAGCGATACGCGGAGCGCGGCCCACGACATCGCGGCCACCTATTTCACGATGAAGACGATCGAGAACATCGGGAGAGTCAAACTCCTCTTCACCGTGGCCTACTCTTCGGTCAGGGTCGGGCAGGACAGACACGACTTCATGGAGCTCGCCGAACACATCGTCACCATGGTCAAGAATCTCGACAAGTTTCAGGACAGCATCGCGCTTGTTGTCACCAAAGTGGAAAATCTTCAATCAGGAGGGGGAATCGTGCCCGACGAGAAAATTATCCGCTCCGTCGCTGGGTTTTTAAGGAGGGCGAGGGTTGAAACTCAGCAAAAAATTGAGAGCACAAGTATGTCAGCCGATAGGAAACAGCTGCTCATGGCCGTTACTAAATTCATCGAAATCCTGCTGCAGACAGAGGGCGAGACTTATTTGAGATTGGGTGTGTTCAGGAAACCCGACGAAGCTGGTCCTCTTCGATTGGTCAACTCACTGAAAGATAGCAAGGAGCCCCTGGAAAGAATTATTCACCGAAATATTCGATTTACCGCTCACCAAGTGAAAGATTTCGGCTATACGATTTCCTCCAGCTCCCAGACTATCGTACATGATTTGGTTGAAACGTTAAAAGACAACATGGCCTCCGACGTTACACAACTAAAACGGGAGGTAGAAGAAATATTCTTGTCTCGTGAAGAGATATCAAGCGATGTTCAAGTTTCGAGGGACATATTTCAGCAGGCGCATAAAGTACTTTCCGGGACGTTTCAACAGATAACGACACCTGATGATTTTGTCAAGCGTCTCATTAGTAACACGAGAACTCTGAACATTACTTTGTCGCAAGGCCCACTTGCAGGTGTTGAAAAACAGAGTCGTTACTTAGAATTCTTCTCGAATTTTGGTGCGCGAGATATTCTACCCCTCGAGTATGCTCAGGACTTCCCGAAGTTGCTGGAATATTTGAGCTCAACTGCAAATTATTACAAAGTGCTAGTGTATCTGTCCAATGCTTTGACGAATTGTGATTTAGCGATCAAGGATGGCATTGAGAAAAACGTTTCTTTCGCAAAAATTCCTTACGACCAATCAGATTCCTCGAGAAAAAGACGACAACTGGCTGTAGAGCTTACATTCGCGAGTATGTTGCTGCCGCAAAAAGATAGACACATCCTCGACAGTGAGTACTCGAAAATCAGAGACATAGAATTCAACGAGCCGAAATTGAAGAGACTGGAGCAAATCTGGAACAGGGTGGCTCTGACCAAAATGAACGTCTACTGTCACAAAAATGATGGAAGGTTAACGGTGCGGAGCGTTTGTTTGCGACTGAGCAAGTTTGTCGATTCCCTCGACAGTCTCTGCCCGGGAGCGAAAGTCATCGAGATTTTTGCGTTGGATAAAGTTTTCATCGATTCCGACTTGAAGCTAACCGGAAGAGAGGCTCAGGTCTCGATCATAGCGCCTGCGTGGGAGGTTGAGGGGGTCCGAGAAATCGTCCTGAACGGCCTCCCAGGTAATAAGACGTACACGCAGCAAAAACGGGGAAGTGTCAGAGGTTGGTCCTTCGGATCCCGTGCAGTTTCCGTCCTGATAGGAGAAGATGGCGCGGATGGGCCGGATGGATCTTCCGCTGGGAGTCTCCTCGGCATCGCAGACAGAATTATCAACGGCAAGTTGCTACACATTTTCTCGATAGGGGGGCAGGGTGGGCCCGGGCAAGATGGCGGCGACGGCGGACCGGGCGCAGATGGAACCATCCCGGAATGGGGTACAACCTACGGGAATCTGATAGAAGACTCTCACTGCACAGATGACACCGGGTTTTGGAATAGCGTTGGCGCCAAAGATTACGATGATATATGCACCGTCACCGGTCACAAGTGCAGGGATGGCGGTGACGGCGGGAGTGGCGGAGCGGGGGGGAGGGGCGGGGAATCAGGTCAAGTTCTTCTCATCGGGGACGGCCAGGATATGATCAGCCGTCGCGTCCGCAATGGAGAATCCGGGCGCCCGGGCACCCCCGGGCGTGGAGGGCCAGCCGGGTCGCCGGGACGCACAAGGAGGTTCCGGAAGTATCGCTGGATTCTTGGGACACGACAGAAACTCGAGACGAGAGGCGAGTGGTACCTCCAGCGTTGCTCCGCCGGAAAGGACGGTTCCCAGCGTCTGAAGCCTTCGCTTTCTCCTCAAAGTGGGAGGAAGCTCCCGTCCAGTGCAACTATCGACAGCTACAAAAGTTTCGTGCGAGAAAATCCCACCCTCATATCCGCCAGTCTGAGTCAATTCCTGAAAAACACTTTGGAGAGCCACAAGGCAGTTAAGGATCTTTATGCTCCTCCTTGAGGATCTACAGCCCGGCACATTCTTATTATTACAAATTCAGCACTATACCTGTACAATTAATTACATACCTCAATACTAGTTAACTATGTTATAATGTAAATACTCTGTACAGGAAGATACAAAAAGAACAAAGATCAGTCAGGGAAAAGGTCAGTTAGAACAAAGATTTACCACGAGAAAATTTGAATTTCAACTTGATATCGTCCGGCCTGAGTCGATTCCTGAGATACACTTTGGAGAGCCACGAGGCAGGCACGGGTCTTTACGCTTTTTGTTACGGATCCACAGCCGAAACATTAAAGGCGTAATTCCCTTTTTTTACTATGTATTCAGCACATCTTTTTATAAAAAAATAGTACTATTTACCCGTACACTTAAATACATACTTTAAAATCTACTTGATGAGATTATAGGATCCTTACTCCGAGCAATATTATAAACTTAAGGTCAGTTAGACCAAAATACATCAAGAACAAAAGTCAGTCTTGCTAAAAATGGTGAGTACAAATGAGTAGAAAATCAAAGTCATATGAATAGAATTTCAACTTATATGAATAGAATTTGATTCATATGAGCAGAAATTCTCTATCCAGTTTTCGCCAACTTCTATGACTAAAGATTCCAACTCATATTTATGACCAGAGATTCCAACTCATATACATACATATATTACCAGAGATTTCAATTCATATGAGTTTAGCGTTGAATCTACCGTGTCCGATATCTCAGAAACTAGTCATCGCATAAAAAAAAAATCACTAGAATGAAATGTTTTTATTTTTCAAATTTACAAACTATGTCTGTGCCTCCTGGTCGGAAACAGCACTTCTGAAAAATGAAAAAAATTGAATTCGTATGAGTAGTTTTCTACTCTTATATGAGTAGAATATTCTAGTGATATGAGTAGAATTTCTTCTCATATGAGTAGGATTTCTACTCATATAAGCAGGAAGTTCTATTCGTGTGAGTTGGCGAATTGGGAATAGCCTACTCGTCATTTTTAGCAGGGAGTCAGGAAATAAGGCAGTTGGAACAAAGATATACCGCGAACAAATTTAAACTTCAGCTTGACATCGACTACATAGCCGGAGCCGATTCCTGGGAAACACTTTGAAGAGCCACAAGGCAGTTAAGGATCTTTAAGCTTTTCTTTACGGATCTACAGCCAAAGCACTAAAGCTGTAAAAGCCAAAATCAATTTATATTTCCCACGGACGATATGATTGTAATACACGACTTTAAATTGTACAGCGAGAAAACCATCATTTCAATTGTTGAACTTTCGTAGGTACTTTTTTATGAATTCATTCTTGTCATCTTAAGTAGAACCATTCTCCGAAACTTTTTTTGTGTGATTTTTTGCTGCCTTTGGTTCGGACAAATTTATCAAGAGCAAACAATTTTAAAAAACGCTGATTTCAGTTTTTTCCCCCGTCAAAAACCTGCCTGCTTATTTTATTTCATTACCTCTAAGACTTATTTACACCTCATTGAGTACGAGCCCAAGTCAGCTCCGTGAATTTAATGCAATTTATCTATTTTAGCATTACCATGTAATGCTCATTCAATCGTTCTGATAATATTGTTTGTGATGCCGACTTTCGTTTTGAGAATTCTTTTCAATTTTATTTTTATATTCCTTTTGACAACGAGGGCGAAGCTCCGATCCTTCGTTCGACATTTTTATGAGAGGAGCATGGAGGACAAGGCGCATAAGTGCAGTTTTTTGCTATTTTAAGGAATGTGTTCAAAGTTTCGAAATTACATGGAGCTTTATGGCAGAAAGGAAGTTTATACTCACTTTTTGATACGTACTTTAAAGTTGGATTTTATTTTTGAATTTTTCATAGAATATACTCTCAAACTAGTTTTGGTTGAGTTCATGACTGTTTCAATTTTTTCAAAAACTGCACCTTTGTGCCTTGTCCTTCAAGTTAGTCATATAGTTTGTCGCATAAGAAGCTCTTCGTGTCTTTTCATCTTTGCATAAAAATGTATACACATCGTATCTTAATGAATTTTTATAAACTATGAAGTTTTAAATCATATATTTGTTTGAGATTCGGTGTTGGATTATTAAATTTGATTTGCGCTTATCCCGAGTCTATTTTAATAGGTTAAGGACCTGCTCAAACACGCTACTTATCTTAAATTCATCTTTCAGTTTCTAGTCGAATAACACAGCATGACACCATTTTGTTGTATCACTATCTTTATTATTTATCTCTCGAGATAGTTAAATTTTGAAAGCTTCATCATCTAATAGCTCGGATTTATACTATCTGATACGAAATAGTTTTAATATTAGATTATAAGAGACTTTAAAGGACAAAGGCATCACCCTGGGCTACATCAGCGGGTTACTGAGTTTGACGACTATATAGGCTTTGTTTCCATTTACTAGCTGCAAAACAACTGCTCAACAATGAAATCAAATAAAACTTGGAAATTTTAAATGGACAACACTTCAAAAAAAAGAAGAAAAAAAATGCTGGTTAAAATTTACTTAATAATTAATAGGTCACTCTTTGGAGGAATTTTTAAAGTACTCACAAGATGTAACCTTTAAGTAAAAGTTATAAAAATCTCTTAAACAGCCAATCGTCCTATTCTGTTGCGCTAAGAAAAAACGCCATTTGAACTTTTGGATGTTTCCAAATTTCCTCCAATAAAACATTCATTTTTCAGGAATTTTATGAATATTTTACCTTGAAAATTTCAGCTACTGTAGATTGAATTGCGAATAAAATTCCCTTTGAAATTAGGAGAAAAAGTACTCAAGTTTCCTTGAATGTTTTGTCAAAGGAAATTTGGCAACGACGGTTTTTTCCTTAGCGCAGTAGTATTTGAACGTCCCTTATTAAAACTTTTAAAAAATCTGTTAAAAATAACTGCATAAAAAATCTACATTAGCTTTTGAAGACTACCAAGGTATTAATGTAAATTTTACTCCAATATAATCGAAAGAGGTTTTCTCGCACGTAAATTCGACGTTTCACTCGAATAATTTATGTCACCGGATATTTCTCCAATTTTCATTTCATCCTGTCTACTTTGATGATCAAAATTGAATGCGTCTGAAAAATTAAACAATTAAACATCCCTAACCAATGGTTAGCACTTTATTATAACGTTATTTCCAGCGATGGATGTTAGCTCAGTAATATCTACGGCACGCTGAGTACTTATTTACCAGGTAATTGCTTGAACAAGTGCCGCGACTTGACACAGCAAAGCATTTTTGCGGACAACACCTCAACAGCGGGTTCAGCGGATCAACATGCCAACTCCAAAACGAAGTTAGAGCAAGTTCCGCCGCTTCCTTTGTACTTCCTTCCTCCGGAAAAATGGATTTCTCGCAAATTCACGTCATCGGGGTGCTTTTGACCTTATTGGTGTGTCAGATTTTGAGGACCTCTCAGAATGAGGTAAGAGGAAATGTTGTTTTTTCTTGGTTATCGCATTTTCTTTTTAAGCACAAAAGCTTGCTAACTTTCCACGGACATGTTAGAAACCGCGATACATCCTCCATAAAAGTTTTTAACTCTTTTTTAACTTTGTCATACCTTTTGTTTCTACTTTGAAAAGAACCCCTACAAAGGTTGCCTGATACGTCCCATTTCACAGGTTTTTTTCTAAGTCGTCTCTTAAAAATTTACAAGTTTGGTTTGTTTAGGTATTTGTTTTTTCTTTTTTTAACGGTTTCTGAGAGAGTTGCTGCCACCAGTCATACGAGTTTTTTCTGTCACTTCCCTATTCATAAAATTCAATCACAAAAACACGAGCATGGCCCTGAGTAAACTGACGTGTTTGAACATTCGCATGTATCGATTGTTTTGCCATTTAAACCTATGGTAAAGAATCGATTATTAAGGTGTTCGCTGCGAACACCCTGTTTATCGATCCTTTTCCATAGGTTTAAATGGCATAACAATCAATAAATCGCAATCCACGCCACGCCACTGGACAAAACTTGAGAATGGGCCGCTAAACAAAGTCCATAATATAAGGAAACGTCACATATTTTCTCTTCAAAATCATACGTAGGAAACAATTCGCACAGTGGGAAGTTCTAAAATCGGTTTCAAACTATATATTAACAGGCCATTAAAACATGGATCAAATGGGAGTCCGATTACACAAACGACGTCATTTGTGGTTTTGCCATTAAACCAATATTAATAGAAAACACTTAAATACTGAAAAAAATGTCCGTACACGTACTTACGGGCTACATAGACATGCCGTCCGCGTTCCGGGGTTAAAGGCCGAAAGTTCCGGGCGTAGCACACGGAGCCGTCGAAGCTACGGCTCCAGCACCTGGAATTTTCGGCCTCTAAGCCCGGAACGGACGGTATACCTATCTATAAAGCCCGTAACTTTTTTTATTAGTGTATCTTGTTCAGGAGTTGATTTCCAGACTTTCCGTCAAGGTATTCGTTTTCTTCTGGGAATAAACAGATTGAACCTGGCATTGTACATTCACACCTTTTCTAAAGCCTCATTCTCTCCACCGAATGCGAGTAGTAAGGGCATGAAATGTCACTCCAAATCTTTGGATTTCGATCCAGGAAGACGGCCAATTGAGGACGCGGGCCCTTTTTTACGAGTGAGCCGCGGGATGTACCTGTTCAAATGTGTTCCATAACCCTTAAATGGATTGCGTTTTGCAAAAAGGAACAAGGAGCATTTCATTGTTGCTAAGATTGTGCAACTTTTTTGACCTTGCAAATAGAGACTGAGCAACCAAGCAAGTTTTATCTTTAATCCCAATAAACTATGAATTCAATTCAAAAATTACCTTTGTAAATTGAATTTTTTGCATGATTTCAGTGATTATTTGCGATCAGTGTAAGTTGCACAATCCTAGCAATATCGGAATGCTCTTGGCTCCTTTTTGCAAAATGTAATCCAAATGCCCTGGTCAAACTGACCCGAGGTTTGCTAAGATCACATGCCCCGCGGTTTGAGTGTGGCCGGTACTCATGAGCTTTAGAATTGTGAAAAAGAATCAGACATCGAATTGAAAAAAAGAGGTCTGAGAATAACAAGATTATTGGGTTTCGGCCACTCATAATGAAAGAATGTGAAAGATCCACAAATACATCCTAAAAACAGAATGAAGACCTCACATTGAAAAAGAGAGCAAGAAATCGAAGCCGAAGATAGGAGAGACGTACCCGGGCCTTGCTTCCTAACTTTTCTCCTAAATCTGAGCGACATCTCATTTGGCGGTGTAGCCTGTAGGGTGGAGCACTAACAATTCTCGCCTCACGCCATCGCGCCTTCAATTTTGCAGATGCAGCACGGGCATCCGACAAGTACGAATAGTTGTATCTCTGCGCCGTCATCAAAGCGCGTCCTTTCCTTTCCTCTATTTTCACGTTGAGTTAGTTCCATTTGTCCAATTTTTTTAGTGGTGCTTCTTTTTTAAAAAGTTAAGAAGTTGAAACATTATTAAATCTGGCCATTCACTTGCGCATAGATTGAAAATTACCATATGGTCGGCCCGGTTCCGAGAACTTGGTTTCAACATCGGCGATCACCAACTGATCAGGAAGCTCCTGTTGACAAACGGCGTTCCTCTCAACCTTGTCGCCATTCTCCTTCTTAATAAAGATTAAGAAACAAATTAATCGGCCCAAAACACTGACAAAGAAACATCTTAAATCGGATTCCTAATAAACTGAAACAGAGTGTCTGTAGTTTCCGAGATGTCTGATTTAAAATTGTCTCTCTTGTGTATATGGATGTCCTCCCGCTTACCTTATTGAGAATTAATCTTGACCTTTTTGATTGATTTCGGCTCGAAATTGATAGTGTCCTTGCTCCAAAAATGAACTGCAGCCGGTGTCTTCAGTGTTCGATTATTTTTCATTCGACGAAAGTGCTCTTGCCTTCGAATTTCTAAGGATCGTTTTGTTTGGCTCCGTCTTTGAACTTTTCGCCCGAATCCGAGCAACACCTTAATGACAGCATAAAGCGGAGCATTGCGAGTTCATGCCTCACGCCATCGCGCCTTCAATTTTGCAGATGCAGCACGGACATCCATCATGTACGAATAGATGTATCTCTGCGCCTCACAGCGGATTGAATCGATCGGAGGGGTCGGACATGTAATTTTTAACTAAAACCCCAAATTTTGATGTTTAATTCGTCACATTTTAAATTATGAGGGGTGCATCTAGATGTAAATTTCACAAGGAAACCAATGGAGCCACTTTTAGAACCCCAAAGTTTTGTATAAACGGAGTTATAAGCGTTTAAAGTTTCCAAATTTTGTCCGACCTCTCCTATTGACTCGATCCACTGTGCGCCATCACGCGTTGAGGTGTCCTTTATTTTTGAAATTTGAGAAAAGTTAAGGTTAAGACATTTTAATGCCAATTTGGCTGGCTTTCATAAGACATGGTAGAATTATTGAAAAAATAATCGAGCTACCGCAATTGTTGGCGGTCGAAACGTTTGTTTTGTCTTGTTTCATGTGAGTTTTTTATTATTTTTCATCTCTGTATAGTTTGAAATATTATTTGTTTAATTTATTTATGGCTTGTAGCGCGATTATTGTTTCAATCATTTAACCATGCTAAGGTTAAGTTTGCTCAAAATATACGATGGTGTGTTAGACACACCATCAATGATCATTATGGGGAAAAAAGTTTAGAGGTCTCTCAAGCGCTCTCAAGAGCAAACGTCTAAAAATTGGCACTATGCGAGAGTTATGTAGTCTCAGTTTTTTTTTTTGACGACTCCCCCTAGAAATACCAAGCTGGACCAAATTGACCCAACCATCTCGGCTGGGGGAGTTACATATGCCGGATGAGGAAGAGGGGTTAAAAAGCGCTAGTTTGTCACCAACAGGTGAAAATTAAAAATAAAAAAAAAAAAAAATTTCCCGTCAGCACGTAGAAGTAACATAAATAGTACTTCGAAAACTATCAATATATATTTATGTGCGGGTCAGTTTAACCTGACTTGGGACTTTGCGCATAAAAATAGGACATCTAAAGGTTAAACAGCTCCTATTCTTGGGAGGCCAATGACCATATATGATTTACATCATGATTCAGGGAGGTGTAAAGAGGTTCAAAGCAGAGTATCATAAACGGGCCAATATCATTGAATTTTGGGAAAAATTAAGAAGTATCATTTTAGGAAACGACCCTTGTAAGCATTACACTGATTTGTCGCTACAAGAACTTAAAAATTCAATAGAAAAGTTTCTTTGGTCTTGAAAATGTCAAGGTAGATGGATAAATTTCAGCTATTGAGATAAAATACGGGAATGACGTATAACTGGCCGCGAAAAAATTCCTCAGGAGATTTGAATGACTCTATGCATTTTTTCAACGTGCGAAATAGTGAAAATGTCAGTTTGGTGACGCATAACTCGGAGGAAATCAATGTATCAAATCGGTATACAAATAAACCAGGACCTTTTGCAAGCTTCGTCAAATTTTTTTTTTTAAGTCTTGATATAGTCTAAGTCTGATATATGTATAATATGCATTGAAACACCAGAAAACCATATTATTCAATTTAATTTGAGGCTTGAAACGTGTAACTCAATATTATGTCAGTCTGGTGACGCTATGCGTTTTAGCTTGTGACCACTCAAGAGATAGCGCTAGTGTGCCCGTTAGTTAGTCTATTACGTACCTCGTTTGTCCATTGCAACCACCCGCTTCCGCCAATAGGATCCCTCCATATCCCTTTTGTCACACTGAAAAAAAAATATTGGTGTATTTACTAAGAAAAGGGTAAAATTACCAAGAATTCAGTGTTCTATTTGATCCCAGTTTTTTCATGGTAAAATTACCATTTATGGAATTGGTAATTTTACCGAGAAATCTCGGTAAAATTATTTAACTTTCTCGGTATTTTTACTGGAACTGGTAAAAACGCCAATATTCGTTATTGGCGGTGGTAGAATTACCGAGATAAAATGACAAAATTACCGGGAATTGATTACCAATAAAAGTGTACTTTTATGTGAAAAGAAAAACAGTAAAAATACCGGTTTTTAGGTAAGCTTACCAGTCTGTCTTGGTAAAATTACCAATAATGGTAAAAAAGTGAGATGGTAAAGGTACCAACGGACCTTGGTAAAAACGCCGAGAATTTTTTTTTTCTGTGCATCTTTGTCTATAGCTCTGTCTATCCATTCCAAGAATGAGCCCGCTGACTGAATTTTTCCGATTCTTGAAACAGGACGACATGGGACAGCTGAAAATCCCTGTGAACGATCTAACGGAGAGCTTCGGAGACGAGGGCAAAGGGACGAGGAACGCGTTGGTGCACCGCGAGAGGCGGATTCTGCCGCTGCTGTTGGGCGGTCTCGGGTTGGGGCTCGCCGCCTACGGCTACCACAAGTGGAAGGAGTACCACCCGTGCCGCTACTACAACTGGGGCCCGTGGGAGTCCCTCAGGGTGAAGCACCGCATCAAAGCCAACGGGCGCTGCACCAAGTACTTCGACCACGTCAGGGACAAGATCGCCGACGCCGGCAAGTGCACCAACATCGCCCGCGCCGCCTGCGTCAAAATCAGTGGCGACACCACGTGCGCCGCCGTTCTCACAGACGGCTCCGTCAGGAAGCTTTCCACCTGTGTTTGATCACCAGAACAGGAAAAACTTATTGAAACTTTTCACATTTTTTTTCTTTTGAAATTTTTTTGAAAATTTTGTTTTTTTAGAAAAAACGTAGATAGAAAGTTACCCAAGAATATTTATAACAATGACTTACCTCAGATGATAATGAATATTACTGATCCACCTGGCTAAGATTGGACCAAGACCTATTCTAGTTGCGTTGTACCTTATGTTCTTCAATCAAAGAGTACATCAATTTTTATACTTATGAAACTATGAAAATCAGAAAAGTTCTGTTCGTCTCTCTTTTTTTCTCATTTGATTTATCAATATCTTATATTTAATTCTTTATGTTTTTCTTGTTCTGCTCATTTTGTATTTTCAATCAGTTCGGGGTTTCCGGTCTGGTTAACTTTGTCCAAGAGAAACCTCATAAGTGAGTCAGGATCGTATTCATAGGGTCGTATCCATCCAATGGACCACATTGTGCAATTAGGAACTACAATTTTCAGCTTATTCGTGAAAACACACATGTCTACAGGAAAAATAATGTTACAAGCGTTGCCTTTAAACTGAACCAGAAATTGTAGTTCTAAATTGCAAAATGTAGCCCAGTTGTTCCTGCATCAACTCCTCCCATAGAAAGCCCCATAGTTTGCATGGGGATTAAGGGAGGTTTATAGATACCCTCAAAATATCATAGAAAGGGCAGTCATTGCTAGCGTCGCGTAGGATTTAGCAGTATGACTTGAATTTGAGTCCTTGAAAGGGATTACGATAATGTATCACTACAAAAAGTACAAGATACGGAAAACTAAATTCTACAGTTTTAACAAACCTGAAAGTGGGCACCAACCCACCTTAAAATATACAAAACTTGCAAAACGTTTTCTTTCGTGTTGTGTTTTTTTGGAGTGGTAAATCATCGCAATCTCTTTCAAGGGCTCATTTCTAAATTTTATACTGCTGAATTCTACTCAATGCGCAGGGGTGCAAAATCTCTACAGTTCCTCGAACCCAGGATTGCAGGCTCGGGATGCTCTCTGATCGGAAAAGTGTGAACCGCAATAGCTCCGACTCCGTGATATTACGAATTGGACTAAATTTTGCAATTCGGAACTATAATTTCTGGCTCGAATGTAAATCACTTATGTACATGAGGAAACTAATGTTCCATACGTTTTTTCTAATCAGAGCCAGAAATCATAGTTCTAAATTGCAAAATGTAGTCCAATTTTCAACGATTAAAGCGAGCCTTGTAGTGAACGCGCAATGCGTGAAGTATTCCTCCAGTCTTGTAGGCGTTAAAAAAGGCGATTCTACTAAAAAGTGTCCAATTTCAGCCATGAACGTTTTAGTTGTAAAATGTGTGATAAAATATCTCACATTTCACGTATTCTAATGGCAATTAAGTGCTTTAACGAATTCCGACCGAATTGAGTATATTTGATGTTTTATGTATTTCAATAAAATATATATTGAAATATTTCCGAATTGTTTAAGACGAGTTAAAATTGTGTATCTAAGTTGATGAATTAAGCTTCATTTTCAGCATTTACTACTAATTCCAGTAAACTTTTATCACGTTGTCCTAAGAGTTCATTCCATTTCCGCAAAGAAACCTTCTATGTATTGATATTCCCAGAAAAATGCTAGATTGACTGAACTATCTACTATATAGTGTCAAAAATGCTTGTATGATTTTTGTTTCTTTATCGATTATTTTGAGAGATGGCTACAGAACGCAAAATAATGAAGAGCAAGTTTAAAAGTGAAAAACAAGTGAACAACTAAACAAGTAAAAGAACAAGTGATCTTTTGTATTTTGCAGCAGCCTTTCCCCGGATTAAGGCCGACACAAAAAGTACATAGTATTTCCTTGAAATCCGCCAAAAAAATTCGCACTTGAAATGGTCACGAACCTAGAAAATCACGCAATTCTCTACAAAAAGAAGAAGAAAAAAAAGCTCAAACCGCTCCAGCATTTCTAAAACTAGATATAGACTTGTTTTCGAATTGCGTTTCGACTCCATTTCTTCTTACCGTGATAACTGTACGTACATTAACTCACTCTTCATTTTCCATTCCCTTTTTTTTGCATCAAGAAATGTGAGCGTCTCACTATACACCTTTCATGCGTGCAATGTTTGAAATGGAAATTTCTTATAGGGTGTAGAACAAGTTCCAAAACGGCCAAGGATATATTTTACGCAACCAGAAAATTTACTCCCTCCGTTCAACACCTTATAACTTCGTCAATTTTTCAGAAAAATAGGCGGCTGCGCCCCCTCACCACTTCGCGGTCCAAACCTTCCCCTCCTATGCGCTTCGCGCCCCGTCATTCCGGCGTTATGCGTTATGCGCGTTATGCGGTACGCGTTTACTGTTTTTGTTACAATCGATTAGGAATGACGTTTAAATAGAGACAAAGATTAGCTCTATAGCTATCTTTGTTCCAGAATTACAGTATTAGTTCTTGAACTTTTGGGATACCCTTTGTACAAATTTATCAGGGTGAATAAGCTTTGAACTAGTAGTAGAAAGGAAAAATTTTTAACAGCATCCTCTAGTAATGCACAACTCGTAGGGGATCTTATTTTGGGACGAGGAGAATGCATTTCTAGAGGGGGGGGGGGTTACTTGCTTCCTTCGTTCTCTTTTTTGGCGGTTCTGTCCAAGAGTGAGTGTGTGTCCAAATGCAGTGTATTTTATCAGCGATTTTAAGCAGCAGTTCGTCAAAACTTTCGCAGCAGTGTTAAAAATTTTGGAGTGAAATTCTGTATACAGAGCTCAAAAGCCCCGAGAAATATGTGATAAGAATGCGGAGCGGAGTCTATCCTCCTTACAGAGTAACTTATACTCTTACGGAGCGGGATCTACTCCGTATGCGGAGTGTTTTACGCTACTTTCACTTGAAATTCAAATAATTCGATGTTTTTGGCAGCTATATATGCCTGTGTCACACTTTCAAAGCTAGCCATCAAAATATCAAGATCAGGTGTTATGATTGACTTATTCGATGACTTGGACCAATCACAGAACTTGACCGTGACATTTTGATGGAGTATTTTGATAGTGTGAAACAGGTTATGGACTCTTGCACCGAATTTCAATCCTTGATTTTTAACAGCGAGACGACGGAAGGGAAACACTTAAAAACAAATGGTGAACTCCAACACTAAACGATGATGCGCGTCATTGACCCAAGCATTAAAATTATTAATTTGAATTTCTGTTGATACTACAGAATATTTTTCTCCATGTAAATAAAATACATCTGCCACACCCTATAGTTATCGAAAGACTGAATTTTTTATCGCCGTTTCTGCATTTGCGTCACCAGGTGAAATTTCATGTCAAGAATTATATTTTTGCACTGTTCTGTTGCGAACATCGATCTCTGTTTTGTAATACATCACTGGATGAAACTTTTGAAGAAGAAGGAGAAAAATAAGTAGTAGGAAAAAACCACATTGGATTTTTCTATTTAAATCCATGGCCAAGTTCAGCATATTCACTGGCACGGTGAAACTCGTGTATTTTGCTTCGAGGCGATGCGATGTTGCCTCAAAACGCGGTGAAGTTACTGTTTCTTTCGATCGTTTGTCTCTTGTTGTTCTCCGATGTTGTGGCGGGTCGAAAGCGGACGAGACCTCCATCCCGAAGTCCGAGTCCGGTTAAGAAAATCGGAAATCGGATACGGAGCGGAGTTTCAAGTGCCTTCAAGTCTTACAAAAGGACTGGAGCTGCAAGTTCTTCTAGGGGCGATGCAAGCACTTCCAGGAGCGATGCAAGTACCTCTCGGAGCCGGACAACTCGCAAGGAGGTGGACCTACCGATGGATTACGCCGTAATCGATTTCGAAGAGAACTTATACAACACCCTCTACCAATGGCATCACTATAAAGGAGACGATGATTTGTTGGTAAATATTCTTTGAAGNGGGGGGGGGGTCTAGTAGTGGATGACGGCTAGATACGGTGAGGGAGGGGGGCTCGAAAAATTGTAAAAAATGGGTAAGATAATTTATGGACGGCCCCTTAGAGACCATTCGGACTTATTTATGCTTGAAGGAACTATGTGGAAGTGGAAAGATGGGGTGTGCTTGCGGAAGCTGCGTAAGAAACAATGTGGTCAGTGTATATAGTTCCTTTTGAGAAAATGGAAAAGCGAGATTTTCAATTAAATGAAAAGAAACTGAGCGCTAACTCGTGAGCCGTGGGCATGTGATAAGAGCGTGGGGAACAAGGCTCATGAGTTCGTCACCTTCCAGGCAAAGTATCATAAGCGCCAGTAGTATAGAAATGAGGATATGCCAACACTTGACCTTTGACATTTAAGGTGTCACCAGAGGGAATCGGTGTGACATCACTAGCGACTGGTTAATTGTTGCGGGTTGCCTACCTATCGTTGCCAGTGTTGTAAAATTGTGCAGAAAAATGTTTATTTTTCAACCATGGTGTGACGTCACTAGCAACTGTTGCGGGTTGCCTACCCATCACCCGNTCTATACTACTAGCGCCATGCGACGTTTAAAAATTTCCGCCGCCATTATATTTTTTTACTGAGAAATTGTTGGTTGAATCTGTTTGGAAATTTCACTAAATTTTATCGGCAGCACAAAGAAAATTCAGTGAAATTTTTGGACAGCTTCGTTGAAAAATTTCTCTGTAAAAAAATATAATGGCGGCGGAAATTTTTAAACGTCGCATGGCGCTTGTGATACTTTGCCTGGAAGGTGACGAGTTAAAGACTGACGACCTAGTCGTCGTCGCTCGTGTCGCGCCCGGTCCTCACCGCTGACGTCACTGGCGCTTTTAAAGTCCCATTCATCCTTATGGCCCGAGCACTAACGAGCACACCCCATCTTTCCATTGCACATAGTTCCATCTCGCATAAATACGTCCACTTGAGAGTTTATGTTAACGCATCTGAGCCGTCATTATTGACCTCTTCGAATGTTCAGCTCTCATTGATGAGATGATTCAAACATCAAAAACGCCTTTGGAATTTAGGGGCTTGGAGGACAAGGCGCATAAGTGCAGTTTTTGAAAAATTGGAGATATTAATGATTTCAAGGAAAACACGGATTTCTTAATGCACATTTTGTGAAAAATTCGCTCTCAAATTCCAATTTTTAAGCATCGAAAAGTCAGTTTGAACTTTCTTTCCGCCATACGGATCCACGTAACATCCGTAATCCACGGATCCTTTAAAATTGTATTTCTCGGAATAATAAAAACTGCACATGTGCGCCTTGTTCGCCAAGTCCCTCAGTTATAAATTTTAATTTGCGCCAAAGAATGGTTGATATATGAATAAAATCGATATTTAAATCTGAAACACCGGAGAATTATACACATTTTCTCAACAAAATCCTGGGAATCGCTCATGGATGCCGCTTTCAGTTGGCTCACGATTCTGTTAGCTAAATTTGAAAAGCGAGATTTTACGTTCTGTCAAACGGAACTATGTGCAAACTGTATGAGCCATGGGATGCGTCTAGAGCCTTGTGGCCAGGGCTCATGAGTTAATGCAGCCGAGCAACGACCGCAGCGGCGGCTTCGTCACTGGCGCTGTATATTTCCCATTCATCCTTATGGCCCGTGCACTAACGAGCACACCCCATCTTTCCCCCTGCACATAGTTCTGTTTGACAGAAATACGTCCAATTAGGGAATGAGCTCCTGAAAATTACAGAAAATCAGGGAATGAGTATGATCAAGAATTTTGGGCCCCAAGTTTTAACTTTGATTCTGTCTCTCAACAGATCACTTAGTCGAATCAGTGAGAAGGAAAACACACCAATTCGAAAAAATGAAAATGATCAAGAAACACGCAAAACTGCACAGTAGTTAAAGGATTTGGCTCAAGAAAAAGATTTTGGTGCCGAGAGACAATCACTTAAGGACACTAAAAAGGTCCGAGTTGGAATAGATGCCTTAACTTCAATGGCCTTTATGAAAATTGACTCTCTTTAATTAAAATTGAGCATTTTTGAGTCACCGAGTCGGTGTGTTTTCGTTCTAACTGATTCAGCTGTGATATTAATTTTGATACTATTCTTTTTCCTCCCTCAGCCGCGCCGGGTTTCGGAGCAAAAGGTTAAGCTGGAAAAAGCGGTGAAGAATGATATCTGTGGAAGGAATCCATATGGAGGAGCTAATTTGTGTGCGCAAGCGCTGACAGAGCTCCAGAGAATCCCTCGAAACTTTCGCGGACCATGTGGCGAGGCGTTTGCAGGGATCTGTCATAATTGGCCGTGGAATCTGGGCTGCAAGTGCTCCCTCCTCATGAAGGATCATGAATCGATGCACCGCCACGATGGGTCGCCCACAGCTACGGTGAGACGGATAAGCGGACGCGTGTACCCTTTGAATCAATGCGTTCAAGCTATGCACCCCGACGATTACGCAGACGCGTATAACCAGGCCGACCAGTACCTAAATCCGACATGACTCTAACTATGATCATTTTTCACGCAAATGGAGAAATTGCACGGAAATTTTTTTTATTATCTGGAAGTGCTTAAAGAGCTGATTCTGCGGTATTTTTTATAATTTTTTTCTGATATTGGAAATAGTATAAAAATAGATTTAAAAGTGAGAAAATGCACCGCCTGGTGACGTCGTCTGGTAGCATTTCCCATTTAAACACACTTATTTAACCAGATTAGATCATTTTGTCATATCTTCTCCAATAATTGTTCAATTCATGAACCAAAGGTATCGTATCCTCGTGTTCAGGTCACTCAGTAGTTTCCGCACTTAAACAGGAAATTCATCAAATTTCAGACACCTGCAAATTCTCTACTACGGAAATTCCCGAATTAATAATTCAAGTAACTGAGGGTTACACGGAGTTTTAATGGGTCAGTTGTGCTGGTTATAGAATTGTATTTTGATACTTTATCTGATAAATGTGCTAAAAATAATAAGATTGGACCAAACAGCAACTTTCTACACCTAGTATTAACCGAGATATCGCGCTTTGAATAATTCGGTTTATGACATCATCCGCACTGCGGCAGTGACACCCTCGGTTTCTGTCAC